GTGATGGAATTGGTTTTAGTCTTTTGGAGTTCAAAGTCTAATTCCGACACTTACCATGTGACCTTGGACAAGTTACTTAACCAAACTTTCAATTTCCTCGGCTGCAAAATGGTTATAATGACAATAGTGATCCCAGGGAGCTGCCATGGTGATTATATGAATAAAATTTCTGACACAGAATAAGTTCTGAATAAATAATTGAAATTATATGGTAAAAGTGAGAGAAACTGGACCCTCGTAATTGAGATAATGTGTAAGTAGGACGTAAGCCAAGGCAGAAGTTCAAAGGGCCATATGCAGATATAAATGACAAGATAAAGTAGAAACTTTGCAATAATTCTATTCTCACTCAGAAAAGCAAATAAAATATGAGATTCCTTGATCAAAATGAAGGGGGAAAAGTGCTGTTAAATGTACTAGAATACAAAATATTTATCATTCTTCCTTTTATGTCCTTTGCTTAAGTATATGCCCCATTTTCCCATTAGACTTCGCTTATAAAATGCATATTCAAAGAATTAAATTATTAATTTCAAGACAGCAACAGTAGAGCATTAAACCATGTGGGGTTCTTTGGAAGCCCTGCTCTCACTGTTCTATAGTTATTACTGCACCATGGTAATCAATAAATGGCTGGTAATGGAGACCATTAAGGAGAATTAGTTAGGAATTTTTACATCTATGGAAGCAAGTCAAAGAGTCTCAGATGTTTTTCTGCTGGACAGGCCATATAGAGTGTGTTTTCTATTTAGTTGACTATAGCTAGGTTATTCACCAGTCACACTTTATTATGGCGTGCAAAACATACTCATACATGGAGGTATCCAGAGAAAATTACATAGTAGGCTGTCTAATAAATTCCACTCCAATAAAGTTGTCAAATATCAAATACAAGCTTAAAATTAAATAGATATAACTTATCAAGAAAAACAAACAAACAAAAAAGGATTAATAGGATTAACTCACAGGATTTGCCAGCTTAAGCCATATGGAGCCCTGATTGCTAATTTGGGAACTTTATTAAAGAATGGATTATGATTCAATGGAAATGCTTCAAGGGTTGGCTAGTGATAATTTGGTCAAATGAGATAATTAATACTAAACAAGGTTATCTATTTGGCTCTGAGTGGGCTTGTTTCAGCTATCCCACTGCCCAACTCATAATCAGTAAGGCAGAGAAAACAAGTCCACATAGACTAAATGGCCAAGAACAGATGAAGAGCAAGCTAATAGTTTAGTAATTAGGAGCAAAGCCAATGCAGGACCTGCAGATGCCCAATATTAAAAAGAGGCAATGCAAGTGGTGGTAATCTGAAAAAAAAAAATGTGTTTGTTGGAATAGGTTATTCTTTATATATTTTTATATATATTTATATATATTTTTAGCATATATTTTTAGAAAGATTGGGGATAATTTATCAAGGAGAATATTAGTCCAATAGCTGTATTCACTTTTATATAGTAAAATATTGACAAAGCTTCTCTATATTTTTCTATATAACAATGGAATTGTGTTGTTTTCCAGCATGACTTAAAATTTGCAAAGCAATCATTTTGAAAAGGAGCACTTGAAAGAAAATCATCTGATGCTTGGTGTGGAAACAAAGGGTCTTTGGGTAGTTCCTTAGATTGTTTTCTATCAGGGCCACAAAGTACCAGAAGGACCTGACACCAGGCCACTTCTATTGTTCATTCCTTGTGAACTTTATTAGGTCTCACTTCCTCATTGGTCTTCAGGGTACTTTTTATCAAATGAAATGACTAGACAATTCTCACATGTCTTCCAGGTCAAGCATTCAGTAATGCTTTTCTCAAAAGGATCATGTGAGACAGTGGAAGGATAAATAGCAACTAGAAGGTACTCCAAAGTAAGGCTGTGATTTGTGAGTACATTAAATTCCCTATGCTAATATTTTATGTTGCTATTTATTTCCCTGTGGCAGTTTCACAGTCTTCCCCAGATCCTTTCCATATATACTGCCATACATGCTTAACTGCCATAACAGTAAAAAATGTAATTATGGTTTTAAATATTGTAATTCAGTATATAAGTTTTATGACATACTTTATTTCTCAAATTAAAATAAAACAGGTCAAAATCTCAGAGGAGCATTAGAGCCACAGCTCAAGAAAGAGAGACTAGTTCTCTAATCAGTCTGTTACATCTCTCCACCTAATGACATTTTACTACCAAAAAATGTGACTGAAGAATTTGGCAAATTATGTCCAGCACTACAGGTTTCACTAGACCAACTTCTACTGATGATCTTTCAAGAGAGGAGGAGATTGAAATTGTGTCTATATTTTGTTGCTAAATTCAATCAAATACACCCTGAAGTCAGCTCTTCTAGCTCTCTGTCATTTTTCTCTGAAGATTCATGGAAGTTCCCTTTTTACAATGTGGGGGAAAAGAGGTTATTATACCTCCCTTCTGGACCATCAGGTTTTAATTAACTGCCCTTCTCAAGTGTATTGTTTTTAAGGAATCCCTATACCTAAGAGGTTCTCAAAGTGGCTACAGAAGAATACTCTTGCAAAAATAAGTAAGTTACATAAAGAGATACTTCAACATTCTATTAAAATCCTTTATCTCCTATGCCTAATTAACAAAAGCCAAAATAAATAAGATACAATACAAATTAATATTTAATTCAATCCAAAATATACTTTCAGAAATTCTGCTCTACATAAGCAACATGCCTATGTGTGGGGAAACACAAGCTAAAGCCAATTCTGATTTCTAGAAATGATGTCACGAAGGAGGGGAGGGCAGTGAGAATAGCTAACATATTATTCTAATACAAACCAGTCTGTAATATGTGGTGAGTGTTATAATGGAACAAAGCACAATGGTGTTTGAGGGGAGAGCAGTAATGTTGATAGGAATTTCGCGAACATACGGATTTCATTTTGATTTGGAGGTTGGGTAGAATTTCAACAACGAGAGAAGCAAATGAAAAACAAAAAAAAAATGAATATAATGTTGTGATTTATAATATTGCATATATATGTAAATATATTTGGTGTTCAACCTTGCCCTTGGAAAAGAGTTCATAAAACCCTTAGAATTTCCTAAGAGATAAGTTATAAAAGTGTTTCTTGTTATGTGACTGAAGTGACTTTTAGAAAGTACCTAAGGATGGGGGTGGCTTCAAAGAAAACAACCAAGTGATGTAGGACTGAACTGTGAATCTTTCCACAACTGCCTCAGAAAGGAGAGAAGGTAGACACAGAACAATCACCAGTGTCCAATAGACCAAATCATGCCTAAGTGAAGCCTCCATAAAACCCACAAAGATAGGATTCAGAGAGCTTCCTGACTTGTGAACACTAAGAAATTCAGGAAGAGTACTGCTTAGATTAGAGTGTATGGAAAGTTCACATTTCTTCCCATATACCTTCCCTCATATTTCTCTTCCTTCTGCCTGTTTCTGAGTTAAAGACTAAGAAACTGGTGACATAGCAAGTAGAGTGTTTCTCTGAGTTCTGTGAGCTTCTCTAGCAAATTAATTAAGCCCAAGAAGGAGGTTGTTGGAACCTCTATTCTGCAGGCAGTCAGTCAGAAGCAGCTGGATTTGTAACTGGTATCAGATGTGGTGGTGATGGAGTCGTGGGGTGGTCTTATAGTACTGAACCCTTAACCTGTGGAACGTGATGTCATATCTAGATAGTGTCAGAATAGAGTTGAATTGTGGGACACTCCCTGGTACCTGTAACATTATTTGCTGGAATCCCCACACCCACTGGAAATTGTATCAGAACTCTCATCAACACTAGAATGATGACTAATAATATCTCAGCATTTACTTGATAGGGTTGATGTTTCTCATTTTAGGAAAGAAATTGTGATCAAATTATTTTATCTATATTTCAGAGCCAAGGCTTGCAGTCAATTTGGGCATCTGAACTCATCATGCCTGGCAGCACAAATAGGGTGACTATTTGAGCAAGTCCTAGTCATTGCAAGACCAATGCCATCATTATATTAGAAGGCTTTAACTATCAGGAAGTATCTGACACTATTTTATTTGAACAAGAAAAACTTTGACACTGAACTCTGGAGGGAGCAGGGAGAGAACTTCAGCATAGTGCTTCATTAGATATCAAGACACATGGATAACCCAGGTAGGTGAGTAACTCGGTGCCCCATCAAAATAATTTCCCTTTAATATATATTCATCTATTTGAAAAAAAGAAAAGGCAGATCACTGTGTGAGGAATGTTGGACAAAAGGAACACACTGTAGAAGTGCTTGGCCTTGCAGATATTTTTCTGAGTTCTGGCTCCAAATACTCATGTAAAAGGAAAAGAGAAAAAGAAAACTTTCCATTCACTTGAAAAAGGAACAAAAAATAAGATACTGGCATCAAGAGATCTTTAAAAGACCTCAATTCTTCTCTAAGACTTTTAGTACATTAAATATTTGTCTTATTTTCTGGCTGCCTAAGACTTTTTCAATTCAACCCAATGGGAGAAGCCAGAGAGCTGGCTTTGTCAGCTTCTGTACAGCTGGAATTAAACCTAAACTGTCAACCAGATGGACATTTGCAAAACTGTGATAGAAAGTAAGCAGTAACAAAAGAAAGGATTGCACAGAATCCAGTTTTTTCTGTTGCTGTTGCTGCAAGATTAATGGAGAAGTGTCCAGCATTTGGGATCTGTGATGGCTGCAGAAGGTATAAAGTTGCTTTACTGTTGTAGAAGAGCATGAGGGCAGGCAGTGGCTGTAGAAGAAATGAACTCCTGATACACAATTAGTGGTGAGGCAAATAGTGTTATCTAATGTGTAGAGTTCTCAGCTGCAGTTTTCTCACTGGTATTACAGTGTGGGTTTATGGCAGTCTCCAGCTTGCTTTCTATGATTCTGTGGATCTGCTAAATATCTGTTTAATAAATTTCTTTTCTGCTTGATCATCCTGAATTAGCTTCTGTTACTTGAAGCTAAAATACTTAATGGTACACTATGTTCTCTCCTTTCTGATAAACTCAATTTTCTCCACCTTGTTACATATCCAGTGATGTTTTCAATCCTCAGTTGATGACTTGGCACTCGTGTGGATGGGTGCTCCAGGCAGCTGTTGTGCCAACATGCTGTTGAATCTGGAATTGAATATTGGAAAGAACAATTCCAGGAGGGCAGCCAGGTAGTGGTGAAAAAACATAGATCACTATGTGGCAGAAAAATGGACAAGAGTACTAAAATGGAGGTTTAACTCTGGGTCTGAAAAGTATTAAACTCCAATTTACAATTTTCCCTGGACTAGTTTTGTGTAAAGTTGTACTTTCATTTAAATTGTCAGTAGCTTCCCTCTCTAAGTTCTAATAACACACAGCATATGTCTTTATTAAGACAGGTCACATGTTTTACTATAAATATTGATCACCTGTCTGTTTCTGCCATGACATCAAGTCAAAACATTAAGACATGCGAACTTCATATTAATAGTTTGACTTCATGGGATATCCAATAAAAACATCTCTCATTTCCACTCCTCAAATTCTGCACAAACTGATAAGATAATGGAGTCGTAGCAAATACTGACAAAGCATTTTTCTATGTACTTTACAACTCTTTATAACAATTCTATAAAACTAGATACAGGTACTATTACATTTTTACACATGAAAAACTGAGAAATAGAAAGGGTAAATATTGGCTAATGCCATCTAGTTTATAAATAGATATCTTACCAGTACCTATAAGGCAGAGAGAGGTCAGAATGTCAATTTTTTTCAATTCTAGAGCTAACAGAGATTATGGTTTAGACAAAAGGCAACATAGGTTTCATAACACTGTAATTCATAGTAATGGGGTGCATAATACTGAACTCCTTGAAGTAGCATGAGAAAATGATAAGATTCCCCAAGAGAAACCTCAACTAACAAGCTTAGGTTATGGCCAAGAGCAGACAAAGACACATGTTCCCTGTGGACAAAAAGAAACCAAAAAGAGAGTGAGGAAGGGACTGAACAACCTCGTTTCTCTCCCTACCTCAACAATCTGATAGATTATTCCATATGTCTTAAAGCAGAGGAAGAAGAAAGGGGAGGAGCTAAGAGATTAAGGGATTACACACTTTGATATCTCTTTTCCTGGAAAGATGAACCAGGATAATGGATATTTTTCACTCAATATACCCAACATTGGTTCTCTTAACCCATTTTGCTTAACCTTAAATATTTGTTCAATTATGGTATGATTATTTCCATAGGGAAGAAGATACTCTGCTAAATTGGTCTGATTTTTGCCTTCATAAAGTTCTCTCCCATACCAATCACATTTCATTGAGGATGTCCCTGAGGTTGCTGATGACAGTGAAGATGTTTTCCCCATTAAAACAGTTCACTAATTAAATTAATTCTACAGTGTAGCAACTGAAATTCTTCCACCTATTTTCTCAACTTTGCATTCTGTTAAAGCACATTACCCACTATAACTCAACAGGAAACTTAAAATTAATCCAATAATAAAGTTCCTAATAATAAGAACTCCTTCCCAGTATCAAATTTGTTGGGGTGAAAAAATAAGTCCACCGATAAAATCTGCTTGAAAATTCAAACACTACATCAAAATTCAAAGTAATTAAAGCCCAGAATCACATATTTGTGTTCTTGGTTATGAAAAGTCCAAAGAAACTGAAGTCCTTTTTATATTGTGCTCTTAGTGAAAGGTGTTTTATTAATGTCTAACAGAGTTGGTTTCCATTAAGAGCGACAGCTGGTATTGTCCATCACTAGAATACAAACAGTTCCTTTGGACCTTAGGAGTTGAATTAGTTCCATATCAAGTCTGGAGGGTATCTCACTTTTTAAAAAGTTCAAAGATTTATTAGAATATAACAGATTATTCCAGTACTGCTGCAAACCTAGTAATATAGAAATGAAGGAAATTTCAAGTCCTCTTCAGGGAGAGAAAGCCAGAACTGAGGGCTGCCAAAGAATATAGCAAAGATGCAATATTTGAAAGTAGTATGTAATTTTTTTGACTTTGCTTCCAAAGGCTGTCAATCAAACCACACCTGTTTTTTAAAAAAAAATAAATGGTACCTACAAATTTAAATTCAGTTTGGAGGTCTTTTTAAACACAGTTTAATTGGAAACTGTATATTCATCATATCTGAGGAGGGAAATTCACTTAAGGGTTGTGTCTCCCATTCCAGAAAGTGCTGTTTGCAATATCATGCCTTCTGGAGTTTGGAAATTTGCAATGGTAGCAGTCCAATTATCAAGGAATTTTAAGGTTTTATCATATCCCATTCAGTGTACTTAAGTTTTCCTAACTTACATTTCTCCATTGATTCCTATATCCCTGTTGCCATGGTTTTCCATTGTGTGCATCATTTTAGAAGAATATTTACTCTCTTATGTTGGCAGGCAGTCTTATTTCTATGTCTATGTCCTTAACAAAGACCTTTGCCATGAAATTGATTACGCCTATGAAAGCTGCCTTCTAGAAAAAAACAACCCCCTAGAACTGAAACTACCTTTACTGCTGTAGGATTGGCCCTCCCAAAAATGTTCAGATAGGCTTTTTCTAAGATGTACAGAGCAGCTAGTTTCCAGTATGTGTGTCACCTTGGCATGCAGAGCTAATATAATTGAGGCAATGTGGGCTTCAAAGAAACTGTTACCATTACCTTAAGGCATGAAGGTTACCTAGATTTAGTGTCATCTCTAGAAATCACCTTTTTATCAGAGAAACTTTTTATTAAGACAGGGCAAACATCCAGAGGCAAGGTTTGTATCATGAATCATCCCTTCCTTATTATGTGAGACTCCCTCCTTTTTCTTTGATGCTTCAAGCCCTCATTCTGTTTTGTTCCATTTGCTTTAGAATTTACATCCATATAAGTTCTCCACATGTATATAATGGAATCCATCTTTTTCTCCTACCAATCTCTCTAATGTTAATTTTTTCTCTTCTTTAGCCCAAGAAGTACACAGAGGGGTGGAAGAAAGTCTCCTTGAACCCACTGACATTGCTTCTGAAACTTGTTCCTAGTTGTCCTGCGAGAAACAAAATCTGTGACAGTTGTTCTTCAAATACAGCAAAACACAAACAGAGCTTAGTAATTAACCCACAGGCAATTGGAAATCAATTGGTGTGTCTGGAGGTGGGGGATAAGGAGTTAAGGGGGTAGTGGTGAGATTTAAGACTTTCAATAAATCTCAGGAGTACAGACTTAGCTAGATATTCCTGAATTTTGAATAGAAGTTGTGGTAGCAAATCCAATACAACGTAAAAGTTTTACTAGAATCTTATCAATGTACTTTATGCAGATCTCAGTCACAGTTTTATTTTTTTTCACTGTAAAGAGAATTATTTATTTGTTTTTAATTGTATTATTTTTACTGATATAATGTTGGTACTTATGTTATATATGATTCAGAGGTATTCATATCTCTTCAGATATATGTTACCATACCACAAGCACCACATAGGTTTAGGAGTGGCAAACATTCTATCCACTAATGCCTAAAATGACCTGTCAAAGTCAAGTTGAACTTGAAAATTTTAAGATTAAGCCATTCAGCCCATTCCCTGAGTCCAGATTGTGGAACAAAAGACCTTAGCAAGACTACCTATAAAATTTATGAGGTCAAGTGCAAAATGGAAATGTAGGCGCTTGTTCAAAGAAAAAAATTCAAGGTCTAACAGCAAAACATTAAATCTAGTGCAGGGTGCTTCAAGTAGCAGGAGCCTGTGTTGCTGCACTGGTTGTACACCTGTGTCCTTACTGTGGAAGCCCATGTTGTTTACAAACCTAGCACCTTTTTGCCTGACTTCAGCAGACTTTATTATTAGTCAACCTGAGAGAAAACTTCGCATAGGTATGAGGCAAAATGGGTTTCATAAAAATGAGCTTTCAAATTAAAAGTTTTAGTCACAAACATCAAGGAGAGCACAGACTGGTTGCCATTATTGACCCCTATAACCAATAGTTGACCAGACAGTTTCCAAAGAGAAGGCAAAGAAAAGGTACTGAGTTATGTCAAGTTCCTCTTTGAAAATATTCAGAGTGAAGTCACTGCCTCTCTCCATCTCTCAACCTGGTAAGATGTGACTAAGTGGGAGGGCAGAGACACCTAGTGATGTCTCTTTTGATAGAAACCAGAAGCCAGGGCAGGGAGATCTTTATCACAATCCCTGAGAGCTCCACCTAACAACTACCACAATGTCTGGTACAGTCTAGATATTTAATATATATTTGTTTAAGGAGCAAGTCCCATGACTCACACAAATGTAACTTGACCTATATTAGAATTCCAAGGAGACTCTTTACTTTTCACAGAATCAACTATTTCATCTCCTAGCAGCATAGTATTAGACAAAAGCACAATTCATGGTATGTATTATGAAGTCTTTTCTCTTATCCTTGCACTAATTTTCCTGTCTTGGCTTGCTAGACAACAGCTACTTCTAAACCCTATTCTCAGTCAAGAAGCAGGGTAGAGTACAAGACAGAATGAAGAAAATTCAGTGTGAGTCTAGGCTTTGCCTCTGAGTTGCCCATGATCTCAGGACAATCAACTAACCTCTTAGCTTTAGCTTTCACTTCAAAGTGAGGGGATTGAATCACAAACATAGCTTTCAATATTTCACATCCCCTAGCACTCCCTTTATTGAAAGTCCAGGATCATCAAGGAAAAAGAAAAACAGCTCACTCTATCTGCAAAAGATAAATGTTCACAGCATTCTGTATTGGGTTGAATATTTAAAATAGGTTCTCAGAGGTCTATTAAATAGATTACTATTAGATAAAGGAGAGAGAAGATTTACTATGATAATAAATGACAAGATAATTCCTCCTATTCCAAAAGGTCATGGACAAATTATCTCTGGTAAGTAATATTTTTTAACATATAGCACATCATACTTAATGGAGGTTGAATGAAAATTAGTTCCTAGTAATTATTATTATAAAATCCACCAATTTACATAAACTACCTTTCATCCCAATAGCAGACATTCATAATACTAGTGAAGAATCAGAAAATCCAGTAATGATGGCTCTACTGTTCTAGAATCTTGATTAGTGGGATTGTGATGAAGACACATATTACCATTATCATGCTTCATGGGTTTAGGATTATATTATGAAATAGGTGAAATTTTGTCTTTGGAATTATATCATTTATACACCCATGAAAAATTCTTCTTGGTCACTTTCTTTGTGGCAGTGTTTCTTTCATCTATGAGTTTAAGGAACTAATAATATCATCAGTAGGACAGCATGACACACTTCATTCCATAATTCCTCACCAGGGAATTAGAAGGTGAACATAGCAAATTCTTTTGGTTTTATAGCTTATGTGTCCAGAGAACATTGCTTGCTTGTTGCTTTGTAAAAGAGGGGTAAAATAAACGTGGTGGTCTACCTCTTACATTTAAATAAGAAAAGGAAGGCTGTAAGCAGTTGTTGAGTCTGTTCATGGTCTTGGATGTAACAGAGGAGTGCTGTCAAGGACTCCTAAAACAGATCTTGAATCTATATTGTGACATTTGAGAAATTAAATGCATAAGAACTCATTCACACAATTTTAAGAAATCAATATTGGTTATATTTGATTTTAGTGTTATTTTGGGTAGGAAATTTAAAAAATTGCTAAAATGCTTTGCGTCTAAAGTCTCTCTTGAATTGTATCCTTATTTTCTTACACAAGGAACTAATTAATTTGGAGTCTGAGAAAGAGCTGGGAGTTTCCTATAATGTTTGGACAATAACTCTCTAAAACAGACATACACCCACAATTTCTCCCTGGGTGGGTTCCCCACTCTCTGTAACAGGCTACAAAAACACCACTGTGGATATTGGCACTATGGGTGCCTTGGTGGTGAGGGTGGTGTGATAACATATACCTGCATAGTTGTGAAAATGATTTCTACTATATTTTCCTTCTATAAAATTATATTATTTGCCTTTGTAGTTAATATCTTGGAGGAGATTCTTTGAGAATGCAAGAATCTGTTTGTTCTAAGACTTACTAATTTTTACATCCAATAGTGAATCTTATCTTCAAAAATTATTACAGTACATGATCTATTTCTTATTTTTGTCCCTTTGCCTTAAGTGTCTGCCCCCATTTTCAACTGTTGACTAATTTCTACTCCTCGTGCACATCCCAGATTAGTTTTTTTTTTCTTTTTTCCTTTGGGAAACCATTTTAGACTGCCCAGTCAGATGAAGAATTCCTTTCTCCCCACTTCCTTAGCATCCCACAGAGAGCTTCACAAGTCGCCATGTTTATTGGTTGTTTATGTTTCCCTGTGAGTCACCCTGCATGAACTCTTGAGGGAGAATACACTATCTCAGCTATTTTCTACTAATGCCTAGCACAGTATTTGGTCTATAATAGTCATTCAATGTATGTTTGGAGAATAGATGGTTGAATGAAAGCATCTATTATATTTTTTCCAAAATTCATTTCCAAGCTGAATAATTTAGAGTTTTTGTTGCTACAGTTAAACAATAATGTTCATTTTTAAATACATGATTCTGATTTTCTGCCAAAATTTCACCCCTTTGGGAAATTTACTCCATCATGTTCTTGGATCAGCCTATTTTTAATCCTCTGAAAACCAAACAAAAGTCCTGTTTGCTGAGTTGCTTGATTTTTTTTTTTTATTACCTCCCCTCATCATATAATCGCCTACCTTTTCTTCTTCCTCTTGTGATTCAGTTTGTAAGTATATTTTCAGACACAGAGGAGAAGAAGCTGTTCTTTCATTACCTTTGCTAAGCTTCTGGGTATCTCATTCTCTGATCCTGACACATGTGCTTTCTTAATCCTCAGTGATAGTTTTTCTCCTGTGTGTTTGCTTAGTTCTGTAAATTCAACACAGGTTTTCAGGATATAAATCCCTGAAGAAGTAGGAAAACAGTGAAAATGGATTCTTAGGTTAATAGTTCTTCTTATTATTATTACATAATTAATGAATTAAATCCTAATGCAGGAGACCAGGCAAGTTTGTGAATGAAAAATCTGCCTGGCCTTGTGCATAGACAGGTCAGCAGTTACTAATTTAACTGTAAATGTGAAAAGGAATTTGTCTTCCATTGTTATCATCTTCATCCTCATCCTCATTATGGTCTTCATCACTGAAACCTATACCACATCATGTGTGGTGTGCACAGAACAATACCTACCTTAGTCTAAATCCCTAATATCACTCTTATGAATGCTCTTGCTACTTTAAACCTTCATAATATATGTCATTTTGGTCATTATTTTAGACTATATTGTAGTAGGTTTAAAAAAAAGTGTTATTTTTTATTTTATTCATTTTTACATCATTTTTACACAATGTATGCATTTTCATCTTGGTTATAGTCCCCATACAATTCCCACCTCCTCCCCATCCCCCTGTACTGTGTCTGTGGTTTATAGTTGCTTATTGATTTTGATTTTTACTTTATATAATTAGTTTTTTTCCTGGTCCATTATTTAAGTTTTCTAAATTCCTGCTATGAGTGAGACCATCTGGTACTTTTCTTTTTCTCTCTGGCTTATTTTGCTGAGCATGATCCCTTCAGCTCCATCCAAGCTGCTGCAAATTGCACGAGTTTATCTTTTTTGATTGCTGAGTAATATTCCATTATGTATATGTACCACATCTTCTTGATCCAGTCGTCTGTTTTGGGGCATTTGGGTTGTTATATCAGATAAAACAGATTTCAAACTCAAAAAGGTAAAAAGAGACCCAGACAGTTTATTGCAGTAGTTTTGAGTTGTTCTCTCATCCTTCTCAAACTCCTTTCTCTATTCTGGCACTAGATCAGAAATTCATTAAAGGCTAAGATTGAGGTTTATATTTCATGTTATCCTAAGTAACTATTGTTATGCCAAAAACATAATACAAATTTAATAACTACTTCTGGAATTAAATTGTTTGTCTGCCAGCTCAAACAGAAGCAAAGAAAACGCTAAACTAGGAAAGGGCATGTGAGAAATTAACAATTTCAAAATAAAACATATGTTTTCATTGATAGAATGCTATTGATAAACACATTCAAAAAGTTTTGAAAAGTTAAAGAAACCAACAATTGACATTTATCAAGAAACATGAACTGTAGAATGAGACCTGAAAATACCAAAGATTCATTTGGACTTGATTTATGTAATATTTTTCTTACAGTGGGTGACATTCAACAAAAGAAATAATTTAAATGTCATTCTTTTTGCCTCCACAGCAGTATTAATTTTAAGAATCTACCTCCTCTTAATTCCCATTGGCAATGTCTTAGTTCTGATACTCATTGCTTCTCATCTGGATAATTTGCAAATGTTTCTCTGCTTCTAGTTTCTTCTCCAGTTTCATCAGTGATGACTCCCCATTGATCACATGACTAAGTTCTAATCCTTTCTTGACATGCAACATACTTCAATTTTGGCCATCAATTTATTTTATTAGAATTCTCTGTTACCATTCTCTTTTTACGCCTTGTACTCTAGCCTCATTAAATTTTGCAAATCTCCAGAAGGGAGTACAATATGCTTTTTAGTTTTCCACACATCTCCTAATGCTGTTTCTACAACCTGAAATGCCCATCACTTTCATCTGATCTTCCATGAACTCAGGCAAAAAAAAAAATATTATCTACTCAGTGAAATATTCCGTAAATTTACAAGTAAAAATTGATCTGTCCCTATCATTTGCCATAGAATTTGACTGGTAACTTTAATATAACATTTGTCATAAAATTGTGTTGAAATTCTTTGTTTACCAAACTGTAGTTCCAAAAAGGCCAACTCCTATTCATATCATCATCACCAATGCCTAAAGAGAAACTGTAGTAGACTGAGCTGCTGCAACAAACCCTGAAATCTCTGCAGTCTATCACAATGAGAGATTATTCACTCATTACAGGCCAATGTGATGGGGGGAGGATTATAAAATATCATATGATGCCAACATATTCCCCACGCAGATTCAAAGTGTGCCACAGAAACAGTAAGTGGAAGATTGAGTGTGGGAGATACTTGTGGGTGATATTTATGCATAGTGCACATAGTACTAAATCACATTCCATTTTGCAGTCACAGACCCAACCTAACTTCAGGTGGATAGGAAAGTAGTTTAGTTGTATCCCCAGAGGAAAGAAGAAAAATATGGATGCTGAAGAGTGCAAACTTCTCTGCCATCAACTGCAATACATGGATGCAGAATGAATACAAAGAATACCTGATTCCAAATCTGAAGCTATTGTAGGATATTGGAAGGAAAAAAGAGAACCAGTTTTCAAACACAAAATTCCTAGCTCAGACTATAGCAAAGCAAGCCACTTACTAGCTCTGTGGCAATACTTAAAGCTAAGTTCCAAGTTCCTCATCTATAAATGGAATTGGCATGACATTAGTTGAGGTAACACATGAAAACCACCTGACACATAGGAAAAATTATTTAATAATTATCCTTATTTCATTCAAACATATGATTTTTAGAATCTACAATGTGCTTGTATGAGGAATAGAAAAATCTATTAAAAGCATTGCTAACCTTTGGAAAATTCAGAGACCAGTTTTTAGGGCATAAATAAAATAAGAAAAATAGGCATTTAATATATATTGTGATAGGCAGGCTCTTCAGAACATAGGATATTGGAATTTCTAATAAACATATGAGAAAATATGTAATCATTAATAACCAGAAACATGCAAATTAAAGCCACAATGAATTCCTATTAAATGTTAAAAAGGTGACAATATTAAGTATGGGTAAGTATATGGAACAATTGAATTTCTTACCTAGCTGAGTGATTATAAATTGGTCTAATCACATAGAAAACAATTTTAAAATATCTACTAAATCTCACATACACAGCTCATGACCAAGCAGTCTCACTTCTGGATGTAAGCTCAACAGAACTGACAGAACTGTATACATTTAAGATCTATACATTTCAATGCATGTAAATTTTGCCTTAACAATAATAATAATAATAATAAAAAGAATAAAGCAAAACCTTCCAAACTGACAGTTTGAAGAGTCTTATACCAAAGCT